TTTGGGATAGTCACTTTGTTTAATGAATGATAGTTAATGTAGAATTAAATACTCCTATTAGGCTTCGTTACAATATAAAATTCATATATTTAAGGACTTTTAGATAACACTCTTCAATATCTCTTTGATATTTGCATGTAAAATCTTGATCTCCTTTGGTAACTAATGCTGAACAAGAATCTTGAATGAGCATCCTTAGTTGGAAATAGGATAATCTATTGCAATATTAGCCCCAAACGATAAGTTAAATTTGAAAAGATCAATATACTTCTTGAACCAGTCCACCACTATAATATAAAGACTATTAGAAGGATATAAAAAGGAAATAAAAGAGCAAAACAAAAACACAATAAGGAAATAAAGGGATAAAATAAAATAAAAATGAGAGGAATGGAAGAAAGATGAATAAATATGAAATAAAGGAGAACAACCTTAAAGTCATGCTTAACATGATTATGTTATAATCAATTTATACCAAGGATGAGGTCAAAATCTTGACTTAGCACCACCCATTCTGATTGAAGCTCAAGTTCAAGATTACCCATATCCAGAACTAAATTTGCCTCATCTTGTGCATATGCATGTGTATGGCCATTGCTATAAAAAATGAAGACTAAATTATAAGCAACCAAAGAGAATAATTCAAAAGACAATGTATAAGAGTTTAAATATAAAGGGAAAGGGCTTATGAATAAAAGTGCTCATTTTTCCAATTATTTAATGGTTTTGGGATACTTAAGGTTAAGTGGTTCTTAGGTTTAAGTAGTATTGGGCTAAATGAACTATTAGGAGGTCCAAACTTACGAGTTTATATTTAGTATTAGAGAGGGTCTCGAGTCCGACTCTGTTGGTTGGCTAGGGGAATCACACCACTTGTTGAGATTGACATTTGGTAGGTTTAATTTGCCTCCAATTAGGCTCGATTTAAGGAATAAAATGTCAAGAGAGTAAAGCTTTTGAGAGAGTTATGACTCTCAGCTTTCATTCACAAGGGTGTGAACTTGCAAAGAAGCATGGTAGATTATAAGTAACAAAAGAAAATAACTCAAAATACAATTCATAATCAAATATAGAGGGAAAAGGCCCATAAACAAGAGTACACCCCTTTTTTAATTGATTAAATATTTTAGGCTTAGGTTTAAGTAGTATTTGGCTGGGTGACTTCCCAAGAAGTCCAAACTTATAATAAGATTGGCCATATATATCGGTGTTATCAATATTTTCTAGATTGACATCTTCCATTTCCGAGATAGAAAGCCTTAACAACATCCTATTGATGTTGTTGCAATTGAAGGTTATAATACAAATATTCTTCTAAGAAACAAGGAGTTGCATTGTAGCGCACCTTATCTCTCTCCCCTTAAGCCAACTGGAAAAGGGGCAATTGCTTGATGAGAGAGCCCTTAATAGCTATTTTATCCCCATTTATCCCCCAAGGTTCCAAGGATCCATGGTGATAGTATATCTAAATCTCATCCCATGATCACATGCGCTACATGCATGAGTAGTAGAGGATTCTTGTGTGAATAAGTTAATGACCCTTCTATCATTCTTTCAAAAGTATTATTAAGGGGTTCACTCAAAAAAGCAATATAGCTTTCTCACATGATAATACAATCATGGAAATAAGAGAATGAGAATAGAACAAACGGCTCAAATCACTCACCACCAGTTCATGTAATGTTTACTTTCCAAGCTTATTTTTATAATAAAATATCTCATATTATTCTCTTCATGTTAGTTGATATAAGTTCAAGTTTATCTTCTATTACTTGGCTTGTTGCCACATGTTGCAATTTACAATTATGTTATATGGTAAATTTATATAAGCTCTTACACTCAACAATGAATATCATAGCCAATCTTGTCACATGCTTAATAGCAAATATCATGGGTATGACATCCCTATTCTTGACATCAACTTCCATTAGAACAAGATCATCACCCATATAAAATGGAGTTAAGGGTATGTGCAATAACAAATGCTAGTCTTATAATATTGAGTTAGTGGAAAAGTGTTATTAAGGGTGGTTGGAGCAAGTGCATACACAACTCCTATAAAATTTTGATGAAGTATTAGCCATAACATTCCTAATTTGATCCACTCTAAATTTTTTAGCTCTGCATAAAACAAAAGGCTCTAAAAGCAAATGCCAAAATACATCACTAACTCAGATGACCACTGACAAAGATGATGCAATTGCTAAAAGGCATAATTATAATTGTTAGCATATCCAAATGCATGCTTGAAATATTATATAATATTGAAGATAAAACTATAAAATTAATTAATATATATAATTAATTTGAGTAGTAAGGTTTTAAAAACATGTTTTAGCTAGTTTAAGAACATATTCTAAATGTTATATTAAATATCACATCAACTTTATAGAGTACCACTGGTTGTAACATATATATATATAATGGAATGATGTTGATTAAGCATATTTATGCTCTCTTGCATCAATACATCTTTGAGAATAATTTCAGAAGCATCCACCTACAGGATAAAAAGTCAAGTGTAGATAGGATATACCAAAACTAGATGATTTATCAACATTACTTTAAAATTTACAAATACCCACGTACAGTCCTTAAATTAGATGAAAGATGATGTGGATAACTTCAGTAGTATTTGCAATGATGTAGTACGATTAAAACTATTATTAATAAAATGATTAAAATCTTGCACTTTGCCAAGGAAGTATTGCACATTGTTCATATACTTCAAAATAGAAAATTTAAGTTTAGTCATGAATTTGTCAACATCAACTTACAAATCTCTGTGAGAAATATGATACCCAAAATAAGTTATGTCCTTTAACTTAAACATACACTTTAACTACTTTAGTTTTAAACTAACTTTCTGGTAACCGATTCAACACCTTGTGAATATCACGAACATTTTCCTCCTATACCCCATGATAATGGATCAAGATATTATCAATGAAATCAGTAATCACTTTTGTCATATTGTAAAGAATCTCATCTATCATCTGCTGAAAAGTTGCCAGAGCATTATTCATTCTGAATGACATCACTAAGAACTCATACAAACTAAATAGGGTACAAAAGGCAGTCTTGGGAATATCCTTCTTAACCATTAGCACTTATTAGTACCCAAAAGTAAAATCCAACTTAGTGAATCAATGGTTTTACCCCAAACAATCTAGAAAATCAATACTATAAGGAAGAAGATATATATTTAGGATCATTACATCATTTAATGAAGATATTTTATGTAATAACAAATAATCCTATCAAATTTACTCTAGCATTAAACTCTTTAATATCATCATCTAACACGTGGGTATACCTTTCTTTGGTAACACTGACCTTTCCTAGCCAAATTGGCTCTATTAGAGTCCTCCCCTACTATACTTTTGGAGCACACCAAACCCTTTAGAGCCTGAGAGATAATCACTTTGGGCTTTCACCCTTGGACTTGGACTTAGACTTCGGCTCAGACTCGGACTTGGTCTCGAACTCGGACTCAGACTCAGTCTTAGACTTAGATTCAGACTCGATCTTGGTCTCAGTCTCTTTCTTGGCCTTGACCTTGGACTCGATCTTAGGTCCATCCCAGACTTGACTTCGGACTCCATCTCGAGTCCATCTCAGACTCCATCTCAAATCCATCTCGGATTCCATCTCAAGTCCATCTCGGACTCCATTTAGGGTCCATCTTAAACTCCATCTTGGATTCGAACTCTATCTCAGACTCCTTCCTAGACTTGTTCTTAACACTTCTATATATCACACACTTGCCATGTGTCAGTATTTTTTGTATCCTTTTTTAGAGACTCATTTACTGATTATTTTGCACTCATTCCTTGAACACTTTATTTAGAGTTTCACTCCTGGTCTCGACTTTCCAAGTTAGAGCCTTCGGTCCAAACATGTTATGTTTGTTGGACTTCCACTTCGACCACTACTATGTAGCACCCTTTCAACTTTACTTTGGGGCTTAGGGATTTGTGTCTCACATCAATAACCAAACACTAAAATGCATAATTAACTCAAATGGCCTTTGACAAAGATATTGGTCATATATATGTCATCTAGTCTAAATATTGCAAAAAGGCATTTATTAATTTAAAAGAATTATTGATGACTCCTCTAATTTTGGCATATCTTAACTACATTTAACTTTTTATTTTATGTTTCTTATATCAATCTCAAGGGTTTCTTGATGCAAAAGAGCATGTTGTAGCAAGTTATAATAGCCCTATACTTGGGACTTGACTAATTAAGTTAAATAGGAGGGGGATGATATGGTGAGGGGACAATGCCTTTGTGGTGATTTCTTCAGAAAATATATGGAACTTGCTCAACTCTTTTGACGCATTTATACCGGTGCTATAGACTGACATAGATGCTGTGGTAAATTCATCCCAAACTTCACTTTAAAAACTGAGTTTCTTCCTTCAGGGCTTGGTGACAACAGCTGAAGAGCCATGCCCCTCATCTCCACCAAAAAATGGACCATGGACAAAAATGACTTTTAGCTAGGATGACAATCCAGGGATCTAACCTCAAGCCTCAAATCAAGTGTGAACACCCTGTGTGTGCAAAGCACTGGCCCCCTCTCAAGCCTTGCCTCTACTCTCTCTATCTATCATGCCCAGTACTCACCAAGAACCATCCACTTCAAGAACCCGGCACCTCAATAATTTAAAGTTTATAATGTTTATATTAAGTTATAATTATAAACTTTAAAATATTAAAGTTATGGCAAATTTTTTATTTTCAAAACTCTCTACACATTATATAGATAAAAACGTTGTGGAGTGTAACCTCAAATAACAAGAGTGACTACTTAATGTTTTGACTCTTGTATGTGTTTCTGGAAAAACAAAACAATCAATCCTGAGAATGCTTACATATGGAAGTAAACCTAAATTTCTTCTTCACCTATAGAGCATGTTTCTCTTCACTTGATGATCCCACAAATGCAAGTGGCTTGAAAGATCTGGAGAGTAGAACTTGGGCACTACTACCTAGTTCCAGCAGTGTAAATCCGTCCATGAACCCACACTGTTGAGCTTCGTGTGCTGGAACGCTTCAAATTCATTCCACGTATCACCGAAAGCTGTCATCGTCCACCCTGATGGGTGAAATAGCTGTAATGGGAATACAAAAAATATGAGATAAAACACAGCTTTTGAAGGCATCCTCCAACGCAGGCTTGATGTGAGATTGCTCAAAATCCGTCCCCAGGTTCTCAAAGATGTAGTGAGCCAGATTTTCGGCGCGCCACTCAAAGGTTGTAAGACCTGAACGAAGGAAGTAAGAAAGGGCAAAGAGGAGATAGGGTTGAAAAACAAGCGGTGGTGAGATCCCCGTCAAACGCTGCTGGTTTCCGCCAAGAAAATTAAATATATAGGAGTTTGTCCTTTCACGAAGGAGCAGCTGTTTTCACTGCGGGTGTTGGGATTCTCTGCCCAAAGTGGGAATGCGGAGTTGACATGATATTTTAGTGGGCTTCACTGGAACACCTCGGCATCGCGAGAATACTTCTTTCGCCATGGAAGCATTTGCAGGCCTCGCGTTTAGCAATGCTTTCATGACAGCTTCGCCCCTTCTGAACCTGAGCAGCTCTGTCAGCAAAATTCAGGAACAAGCTAGCGTATGATACTCCGAGGTCTGGTGCTTTCTCTCGTCAAGCTTTCGGTGCGTTCCACCAAAGAAATGAGGAAACTTGAGCAGAAGAGTCAGAAGAGGTGCTCAAAGCGCATGAATGGCTTTGTGGGAAAATGCAAGGAGACCAGAAGGAGAAAAAAAGGTGTATATACGCAGCTGTATATACATTCCTGGTGAGAACTGAGAGACTGAGAACCGAGGCAATGCTGCTGAGCACCAGCAAAGTCAACAAATGGAAAGTCAAAGAAGGTCTTTTAAACAACTGATCCAGATAGACAGGACATATTTTTTACTTCTTTACCTAGGTGATAACAGATTTACCACTCGCCTGCTTGGCAAAAAAGATGGCGAGGTAATCCCGGTAGCACACGGCTTGAAAATGCGACTCATCCTGGGCATTGACAAGCTCGGGGACGGGCGCGATCAACAGTCCAGCCGGCGGTGGCTCGAAGAAGCTCGCGATGGAATATCTGGTGGAATCAGAATTGGCCAACGTGCGATGCTCAGGGCTCTTGTATTTACCATTGCTCATAATCTGGGGTGGAAATACGTAAGAAGTAAGAACCCAAGATGTACATTTTACCTCGAGTTGGTCTCCCATGGTAACAACGATTGCGCCGGGTAAAGAATGGACGGTGATCCATGCGCCGTCCTTGAGCACTTGCAATCCAGGCACTCCATTGTTGACCAATAGGGGAATGACATCTAGGTCTGTATGTGAGCGCAGCGCTAGCACGAGCTCGGGCTGTGGGCATGGAAGATAACGATTCATCAGCATCGAGTGATGGAGTTCCTCTAGGGATTGCTCGATCCGGTTGGATTCCAGGCCTAATCCTCTAGAGACGTATCTCAGCAGCTTTCTTCCCAGATCGTGCATCGCCTAGCACTGGAATCGCTGGAGAAAAACGATAGGAACGATCAAGATTGCATTCTCAGAAGAATTTGCGCTCACTGGTAGTGTGGAGGATCGCTCGGGCATGATTCTTTAACGGCATCGCTACACGGAGGATAGCAAAGGCTCTGGAAGAGGAAATCTCTCCAATCCACGATGCTTGAGTTGTCGAATCTGACTGAGTAGCTGGTGGTCTTGGGGACCAGCGTGGCGCTGAAATATTTCATCCTCACTGCCATGGGAAGACCTTGGCCACCTGGAGCATCCCATCAACAATCTCCTGCACCACGCCGTGAGACTTCTTTGCAACACCTTGTGGATCTTTGATGTACTTTGAAAGAAACCATTCCATATGCAAACTTTGTTTATAATGTTTATATTAAATTAGAATGAACTCGCTAGTTTAACTCTTCAATTCATGAATTAAAGAATGGTTTGCACTCAAAAGGGCTCATAAGTAAAAGTGCACCCCTTTTTTCAATTAATTAAAAGTTTTAGAATATTTAAAGTTTAAGTTCATTATAACAAAATTGAGGGACGAACCTTCACAATAAAGAAAAATCATACAGGGAGTTTCACATTCCCACTATTATGAGAGATTTATATATTTTATCATGCTGTGATCATTTCATTATTGAAGCGGAAAAATTTAGTTAGTTATACTACTTGATAAGTTTTGACATTTAAAAGAAATAATTTTGAGGTTATTCATTGCTTGAGGAATTCTATAACTAATGTTAATGCCTTTCTTAGAGCTCCTCTCCCTTCTCGTGTTCTTGGCAAATAAATTATTCTAGCATCAATGAATTTTAGAATTCTAGGCCATCAATGGTTGTTATACTTGATATTTTGTATCTACAAGGTCTAAAGCTAAAATTACCTTCTTTTGATGAAATTCATGAGGCTCAAAAGGTCAAACTATGGATTCAAAGACTTCAGATTCTTGTATCACTTATTGATGTTTTGCTATTTTAGTATTTATATTTTCAATATCATTATGGATAATCTTCTTTACTTTATGTGAGACACAAATCCCTAAGCCCCAATGTGGAGTCGAAAGGGTGCCACGTGGTAGTGGCCGAAGCAAAAGCTAAACGAGCGTAACACGTTTAGACTAAAAGCTCCGACTTGAAAAGTCAAGAGTGGGAATGGAACTCCCAACGAAGTGTTCAAGGAACAAGCACAAAACAAGCAATAAGTGAATCTCTAAAAAAGGGATACAAAAGGACTAATATATGACACGTGGAAGTGTCCAAGATGGAATCTGAGATGGACCCAAGATGGAGTCTGAGATGGACCGAGATGGAGTCCAAGATGGACCCGAGATGGAGTTCGACATGGACTTGAGATAGAGTCCAAGATGGACCCAAGATGGAGTCCAAGAAAGACCCGAGATATAGTCCGAGATGGACCCGAGATGGGGTCCAAGATGGACCAAAGATGAAATCTGAGATGGAGTCCGAGATGGAATTCGAGATGGAGCTAAGATGGAGTCCAAAATGGACCCGAGATGGAGTCCGAGAAGTCCGAGATAGAACCGAGATTGAGATTGAGACCGAGACCAAGACCGGTCTCAATCTCAATTTCGGTTCCATCTCGGGCTTCTTGGACTCCATCTCGGACTCCATCTCAGCTCCATCTCAAACTCCATCTCGGACTCCATCCGAGTCCGAGTCTGAAGTCAAGACCAAGACCGAGTCCAACTCCGAGTCCAAGTCCGAGTTCGATTACTAATACAGGTTGTTGGGTGAAAGCCCAAAGCGATCGTCCCCCAAGGGGGGGGGGGGGGGGGGGAGTTGCTATAGGGGGTTCCAAAAGTATAGTAGGAAAAGTGTGGGGGTTGGACTCAGTAGAGCTAATTTGGCCAGGAAAGGTTAATTTGGCCCAAGAAGGTTATACCCAGGTGTTGGGTGATGAGATAACCATTGGGAAGTCTAATGCTAGAGTGAATATGGACTAACAAGCGGGGTAACTTGGTGAAGTGTTTAAGAGTCAGCTCTAGTTCCCCCGGGAGATCGAATGGTCAATGCTCTTAATCCAAGCATGGGTGGCACTACCTACTTGGATACATGGCGTGGTTCAATGGATCTCGCTCTAAGCCCATGGCTAAAACACTCAAAGGCAGAAGGTGGGGAGAGTACCTATGAAGCTTGCATAGCGCCACGGTGTTCCAAAATGTTGTCCCAAAATCCTAGATTGTGGAAAGGAAAAGGAGCAGTCCTCTAGTGGAATGATTAAAGATATGGGCATATGGTGAGGAAGTCCCAAAGGACAAGTGGGACTTAGTGGTCGAGCCTGCAGGCCTTGATCCAGTGGCAATGTTGACAAACACGGCCATGAACAGAAAAGGACTTGGTGGGGACTGAAAAAGGGATATTGGGGAAGATTGTTCCCCATGTTAGTAGGCATCCTAAGGATGCTAAGGAGTGGATTTGGGATGACTACTCATGGACGGGTGGCCCAGTCTTGGAAAGATGAGACTGTGATGCAGGTGGTATTAGACCATTAGTGTGGCAAAGGTGAATGGGCATAACTTTAACGTAAAGGGCTAATATGTTGATGGTACCTTTGGGTGTTGGTTGTGGGATTGGACACGTGGAGCACTTGGACCAAATGCAAAGGTTGAGTGGCATGAATGCCATTCTTGGGCTAGCAAGCCCCAAGTCCTAAATTGGACTTATGGAGGTTGTAAATGAGACTCCTCCAAATGGTCAGAGGTGTGGTTAAATGATTAAAGTAGAATGGAAAAATTAATCACTTATAATTTGGTATCAAAGCTATTCCTTAGTTTAACTTTTATTGGTGCTCAACTATATCACCACTGGTGTTGACATCGGAAGGTTCTAGAGTGGGCATATCCTTAAGGGGTAGTAGGTCGGGAAAACATGGCTCTCCACTACAGTTCATGTGTGAACTTGACGGCAAGGTGGTGGATAGAAAAGTGCCAATAATGGAATGATTTTGGGATCATGGGAACAATATAAAGTTTTCTTCAGAGAGTTGAGGATGTGATCCAGATGAGTGTTTGACTTAGCAAACTAGCTATTATAGTTGTGGTAAACAACTATAGTTGAGATCATAGGAAAGATAGAAACTCCAAAACAATAAAGGAGTCACAAAATTATCCTCATATAGTTGAAGTTAATACTCATGAATTTAAGACCAGAAATAATGACCGTGAGAGGTTAAATATAGATGAGGACACAAGTCCTTGAAATGGTAGCCAAGGCTATTTTTTATAAATGCTAGAACAAACCCAAGGAGTTGGGGGTGTGCTTAGAGGATGAGTTGGTATTTTCATCATATGAACGGATAGTCTTAAAGGGCAAAGGTAGCCCATAGAAAATTGGGAATAATCAAGTGTCAAAGAAATACTTGCAAATATGGTCCTTGTGAGTAGGACATGAACACAAGAAGATGTATTCTACTGAATTGACACCTCAAAAGTAGAACCTCATGGGTTATCAGATTAGTTAAGTCCAAAAACCTGGATGACCCAAGTAAAGTTCGGGGATGGTTTTAAAGGATTGGTAGAAGCATTTGGACTGAGGTGTGTTGTGCCCCACAAAAGATGGGGAGGATCATAAAATTTAAATATGAAAATAGTGGGTATCTCATTGATGGTAAAATGTGCTATATTAAAGTCGTGGGAAAGATGTTCCTAGAAGAAAACAACTTTGACACAAAGTTGTGTGTAAACTCTATGAGGTAGTGCTAACAAATAGTTGGCATGATAAAGAATTGTATTGGTCTTGGCAAAGACCTAGACACAAGTACAAAGTGTCATAAAGGTAAGTTTGTGGAGCCAATGGTGTAAAGACACCGAATGCACCAAGGCGTGATGCCTTGAGGTCAAGTTGGCAAATCCATAAGAACCCCTTCCCAAAGGAATCCTAATGGAAATGGGAATGGCATAGCCTAAGCTAGAAGGCATATGATTAGAGTGTGGTGACCCAAATAATGATGGAGATATGTGTAAGCAACCAAAGAGAACGACTTGAGAGACGGTTCATAGGGTTCAAATATAGAGGGAAAGGGCCTATGAATAAGAGTGCACCCCCTTTTCTAATCGGTTAAGGGTTTTGGGATATTTGGAGTTAAGTGTCCTTGGGTTTAAATAGTATTGGGCTGGGTGACTGTAAGCCACAAATTTTTCCTTTCCAATTTGCCAACTTACCTCGACTATCCATCCAACTCTGCCTTGGCTTGTGCTAAGTTCCCTCGCCAAGGTTCTCGCCTATGGTATCAGCTCCTACTTGGTCCTCACCAAGGTTCTCGCCTATGGTATCAGCTCCTACTTGGTCCTACTTGGTTTCAGCTACTCACTGCATGAGAAACGGAGTGTTAGCCATCCATCTACGGATTCCCAAATCTCTCCCAATCCCCCTCCCCAGGTTAGACTGGACTTAAGGTTCGGCTACACTCCCCGCAGGCACAAGCAGCCAAGCACACCAAGCCTCCAGATTCCTAACACCCCTTGGTACCACAAGACTTGATCATGGGACCCTCTAAATCCCAAGCCTTGGGTGCAGCACTTGCTTCGGGACGTCGGGGCGAAACACCGTGGCCTAATGGCCCGGTATGGGTACCTCTACCCCCCCACTTCCATCCTGAAGGGAAGGCCCAAGCCCCTAGGAAGGGCGAGGACCAATGAGCCACAAGGTACTCAAGTGGGGCACCACTCCACCTGAGCCGGGAGCACCGCAGTCGGTTTCCCTTTCGGGAGTGGGAGCTGCTCTTGAGCATTTCCCTGGGTGGCCCCTCCGGCACCACCCAAGCCCATGCTCACTCCCACCCAAGGCCCCTCGGCCCCAGTCTCAACCTCAAGTCAGTTTGGAAGCACCACTGGAGAGTTCTTTCAAGACTGGTTCCTGGACCTCACTATCCCTACTATACTTTTGGAACCCCCTGCAGCCCCCCCCCCCCCTGGGAGACGCACGCTTTGGGCTTTCACCCCTTGACCCGTATTAGTATTTGGACTTAGT